AGGAGGCTCATGACTGCCTTTTCTGTCTTTTGCTAATTATCACACTCCATACAGCCTCCTTTGTTGTAGTTTTAAAATACAATTAAGTATATTTGATCGCGCATTCATTTATTTTTCACCTTCGTGCCCGCAAGACAGGCGAGGAGGGCAGCACAGCAGCAGCCACTGGACACGGCGGCCCACAACGACGCTGCATGAGCGAACACGGCAGAAAACCACGCGAAATAGCAACAAATAAACATAAGATGGATCTGACCTGAGCTCACTTTGCCTGAGGTTTTGTTTGCTTGTGGGGGTTATATAGTGTATTGTGCTTTCTCTCTCTTTATCTTTCAAATCCTTGATCGGTGATTGGTCCCTGTGTTGCATGTGTGTGGTTCGATGTGAAGGCACGGATGGTGAGCGCATCGAAAATCCGATAAATGCAATTATGCTTAATCGTGTATTCTTTTTTAATTGATTTACTCTTTTAAATAAACTATTTACTCATTTCAGCAACGAAACGGATACAGAGGCGCACAGGCTCGCGCAAGAGGCGCTACGTACGACTGCTGACCAGCGGCCGCCGTGGCTGCTGCTGACAAACAGCGAGATGCAAAGCGGCCGTGCTGAAGCTCTTTTCTCCTTCTCTAGTCTGTTTATTTGAGTAAAACACCGANCGAGATGCAAAGCGGCCGTGCTGAAGCTCTTTTCTCCTTCTCTAGTCTGTTTATTTGAGTAAAACACCGAAAAGGAAGCACATTGCACTCTAAACCGACAGCAATTCAGCGCAAGTAAGCTCCTTTATTCGTTTTTCTCTCTCTGTTGCTGAAGCAGCGCCTTCCCGTGGCTGAGCCAGCGCAGTCGAATTCTCCTCTCTTTTTGTCACTGCTTTGGGTTTCCCGTCTCAATTGATCTTCATGAATCTATAATCGTGATCATCTTTCTCTTATTTCCACCCGGCAGGGCCGCGACTGTGCACGAACGGAAAGCAGTGCTCGTCGTCGTTCTCTAGTATACACATATACACATGTGATATTCTAAGGTGTACAGGTGTTGCATTTGTTTAGTTTGCCTTGATATCCAATAAGAGTGCTTACATTCACTTCCACTGTACCAGCAAAACCCAAAAGAATGAACTCCTGCTTGTACTTCCTCACGCAGCCTCATCGTCTGCGTTGAGGCGCTACTGGTGCCTCTCGATTCTTCTGNCGTCTCTGTCGGGCCACCTTTGTACTCCGTTTGTGTCCCGAGAACTGCATCGGCAAGCACACTCAGCTAATGCGCCGTGTGTACAGCATTTATTTCGAGCTCTGCATGACATTCATTTTTGTTTTTCTTGATTCTCTTGGTTTGTGTGCAGCTTCAAAGATGGCAGACGGCAAGCAGGTGTTAGGGAAGGTAACGAGCTGGCTGGGGCTGCTCACGGGGGCCTTCACCATCATAGTGTGGTGCTTCCTGTTGAACGCACTGAACCCCAAGATCAAGGTTGACTCCGAAGATGTGTTGAATGACATAAACAAGATATTCTGGCGCAGCGCTCTCTTTACATTTGCGCCCTCTGTCTTCCTCGATGTTTGGACTCCCTTTGTGATGGGCATGGTGTCAATATTATGTCATTTCCACGGCTTTGGCTTAACCTGGATGTGCAAAACTTACATCCACTTCTTCCTATGGAATTTCGTATTGGCCCTTTTCGGCAACATTGGCTACGCTGGAGGAATCGGCATCATCTGCAGCGCCTTCTCCCTCCTCACGACTCTTCTCTCCCTTATCTGTGTATTTTTGTTGCCTAACCAGTGCCCTAAGCTCGACCTGCAGTCTCCCAAGGTCCCCACCAGAGGGTGAACGTCTGAGCTGTACGTACACCCCNCCCTAAGCTCGACCTGCAGTCTCCCAAGGTCCCCACCAGAGGGTGAACGTCTGAGCTGTACGTACACCCCACCCGCTGGATACGTTGGCAGGGACGCAGGAAGAAGACGGCGTTGAACATGAAAAGCAAGCGGAAAGACAGGCAGACAGAAAACACAAAAGGGCTTTCACGGGAAAGAGCGGAGGCACCGCTGCAATTTTCTATAGCGGCTGTGGCGGCTGTTACACCACCCGTTCTCCATATACGTCATTTATTGGTGTATAAGATGCATATATTTATGTATTATTATAATATACATATTGTATGCTTGTATTTGTATATATCCGCCTCTTGGCTCTCCACTTTTTTCGGTTGGATGATGCGAAGAGGATACGGAACCCTAACCCCTAAACCCCAAACCCTAACCTGTTTTGGCTGTTGCTCTGCACTGCGTTCACCATCTGCTTCGGTGTTTCCTCTTTAAACCACCTTGTCAATGAGCATACTATGTGTATGCAAACACTAGATGCCCTCGGGTTTATTCCCAGCAGCTAGAAGCCGGGGAGCAGTAATAAGGGATGGGGGAGAAAGAGAGTGAGAGAACGAGAGAGGGCTTGCTACGGGTAGCCATTATTAGCTTATGGGAGACTAGGCCTTCACATCCAACCGCTTTGGAGGCGGCAGGAGCATCAATACGCAAACAAAATGATAACCAAGGGAAATTATAACGGTGGTGTACAATCACAAATAAAATGTTGTACACTTTCAAGGTAGAGGTTCATCAACGTAACTGTTGAAGCCATTGTA